GGATCTGGTGGAAATTTAAGAGCTGCATTTAAGGAGAACTGGTTCTTTGTTATATAAGTTTTCCCAGAGTGATGTGGACCTGTAATCATGGCTGAGCTTGGCTGGTTATATGTCTTCAGTGAGTGCTCACCTTCTCTGGATCCTAACTTGAAATGTGTTAGACATTGCAGGAGGGCTTGTGCTAGATTCTGCCCATTTTGTAGCTTTTGTAAAAGGTGTAGTGCACTCAAATATCTGTGAGTTTGCAGGATGGGCTGGGAAGTAGTGGTGGAGAGCTGCTCCACTTCTTTCAGGGGCCCGTCAGGATCCCTTGTCAGCACAGAAATGAACATCATAAACTAGGCAGGTTCTTTTTTTTTTTCTTCATTTTTTGCATGCTTAGACAGAGGAGTCATGGCATTAGGTACTGTATAGAAAAGTAGTAAGTTGGAGTCTGCTCAGAAATCTTATTGTCTGGTTAGAGATGGCAGGCAAAGGTTGAGAGAAGGAAAGAGTTGTTCTTCACTGACCTCACTATTACCTGACCTGATTCCACGACAGAAAACTTCAGTTTCTTCACACTTAAAAGGACAGTGACCTCAGAAAGTCACAGGTCCAATCTTCCATGCTGGTGCTTACTATCATGCCAATGACTACCTGCAAAGCTGCAAAGATTTGCACCAGCCTCACATCACTGTCCCAGCACCTACAGGGCTGGTGGTGCTTTCAGAGTGCTCATCTCCCCATTCACACTGAGCTTCCACTGCTCTGAGCCTGCTATTCAATTTCAGTCCTACCTTTTTTTCACCAGTAAAGAGCCCCTAACTCTTACTAAATATTTACTCCTCCTATGCAGCTTCGCAGAGGTTTGCAAAACCATAAGTTGTCTTTTCCAAGTCAGGGAGCTTTTATTAGTCAGCCAGAATGGGGTTATTTTAGTGTCTGTGGGCTGGAATGTAAGTCCAAAGCTTGCGTGTATGCCAGCAGTGTCACTGGCACGCCTGTTCCAAACATCTGGGATTTCACCTGTGGCTCTGCATTGAAGTGCTTTTTGCTTTTTGCAGTGTGCTGACAACTGTAGTCTGTATTTCCAGTTGTGCTGCCTTCAGTATGATTTGCCTTCCTTTACCAGCAGTTGTTCATGTCTCCTTCTTGGGTTTTTTCCCCCAGCATCTTTGAAATCTGCACATATGCTGATGATTTTGTGTCATTAATATCAATCTAGACAAGTCTTTGTGACCTTTCACTCCCATGTCCAAAGGGAAGAATTGACCCCTGCAGTCAGTCACAGCACAGCACTGACTCATACATACTTTTCATAAAAATAATGCAGAAATTCCCCATAGTTTTTACCCATAATTTTTCAGGAGATGAAGTGTAAGCCTGCCGTAGCAACACAGTTTGAGAAAACTATGAAGCATGTAGCATCAGATAGTTAATCTTTTTCTGACATACGATACACTTTTTACTATTAATGCTGTCCATTCTTTTTTTTCTCTTCTTGTACCTCACTTGCTCAAACTCAACTGATCTGTTTGAGTTTCATTTGAGCTTGTGTCCTCTCAGTCTTATTCCCACCCTTGTCTGTTCTCCAGCTCCATTGTAAACCTACTAGGAGGGGACTGGGATTTGTCCCACCTCTCTGATTCCACAGTGATGAACACAATAGGACCGTACTTTTTTTGCCCTGATTCTAATAGTATTTTCTGTATTGCCTGCATAAGATAAAATATGCTCTGTTTAGATATGTAGCACTGAAAACAAAGAAAGTTCCTTAAAAAAAACTAACTGAAATTTGGAACAAGTCAGAATCCCTCCAGTAAATACTAATGGTAAAACAAAACAACCAGCCACCCAAAAGTAATTGCAGGGAAGCTGTTTACCACTGAGATATGAGTGTCATAAGGAAATACTGTTTCTTTACTTTCCTATATTTGATTATTTGTCACTTTAAAAAAAAAAAATTATAATTGAAGTCAGAGCAATTCCTTAAGGTCTCAGTGTCTGAATAACTTTCCAGTGAATACTTAGGGGACTGCATTTTTTTGATCATGCTTGCTGTAATGGAGCCAAGGCAAGCTTTTTTAAAGTGTGGAGGTGACTAAATGCTTCTCCTAAATGATTTTTTTTCTATAAGGCATAAAATACATATTTAAAATCTTTAAAATAAATGTAATGAAACAACTAGATTACAAGATTTTGCCAAGAATGATTTTGACCTAATAGCTTAGTTGCTTCTTTGTCATGAGGATCTCAAAATGTCTTTTCTCCCTCTTAAAAAAATCTGAAATTTAATCTTACACTGTACTTGATAGTGTGATTTAAAGCCAAATATTTAACATTCTAAGATTTATAGTTATTTTCAGTCTTAAAAGAAGGCAGAAATTGAAATAATCTCCCGTCAGATCCTATATCTGGGTTGCTGAGATGTACTGTTAATATGAGTGCTTTGCGGTGTGCGTATTCTGATGACTGAGGTGATTTTTGGCATAAGGAAAACCTATGCAGTTATGGCAGCTTGTTGTCACACAGCTGTGCTCTTCCTTCCAGTAAACTCCGTGGAGTTAGTGAGCATCCCTGGCTTTATATAGGAGGAATTTGACATAGCTCTACACTAGCTCAACTGTTTGTAGAAAGAGCTGTTAATCTTTGATCAACTGGAGTCTCCTTGTTACTGACTTTGATTACACAAGTGTACAACTTTAATTACAGCTTTTAATAAGCTTTCATTTCTTCCTAGCCACATTCTTTGTATAGTAGTGCAGCTTATCTCTTCCTTTCTCCCTTGCTCCCCTTCCCTTCCCCCCTGCCTTTTTATGGAAAAGGGCGTTTGAGGTCATTGCAGGGGATTCGATGTCCAGAGGGATCCTGCCATACACGCTCTGCCCACAGCTCCACTTGCTTGCACAGTCCAGAGAGCTCTCTCCTTCAGCTGCTCTGCAAAGATCCCCGCACCAGCATCTGCCTGGGAGTTGGTGGTCAGTAGGGGAGTACAGGGCTGAGAGGCATCACATTCACACAGACATCCACTGCTGTACAAAACCCTGAAAAACCCTTAGAAAGTCTCTGTAGCCAAAGGATGTACTGAGTCCTGTGTGAATTTTCTGCTTGTGAGGAGCTTTCCCTTTTTCTCCCTTGGGGACACTGTGAAATGTGGTGGCTGAAGTCAGAGTGGCAAAGGGCATCAGGAAGCTGGTGGGCTCCAGCATCTACCTAAGGTACTCATTCCACATCCACAGACTTAGTGTTCTGGCTACCCTCTGGTCATTAGCAAAATGACCTGGTGAAAGCTTTGTGAGAAACTTAGACTTGTAATTGTAAATACAATTACAATGACATTGAGATATGGTTTAAAACAAGCATAAGGAAATGCTTTTTTTTTAACATGAATTGTATTTCACCTGTGGAACTCTTTGCCCCACAATGTTTTAGGTATGAAAAAGATCAGTGGGTTGAAGAGTTTGTTGGATAAGTTAATGGAAGGAAGATTCATCAAGGTCTATTAAACATAATCTTCCCATCACTGGGTGGCCTGAGACTTGCGGAAATTAAGTTTTGATCATCAGAAGTGAGAAGAGGGAGCTAAAGAGGTGCCTCCCTTGGTATTTGCTGTATTTGTGCTCTTCCTGAGCCTCTGTGTTTGGCCCCTGCCAGCAAGAGGATATGGGGCCAGTATGGCCCAGAAGAAAAGCGTTTGATTCCCATGGAAGTAGTAAGGTGCAACTAAGGGGTGCCTTAAAAGATGTGAGTCACAAAAAAGGTACAAATGGTAAAACTGAGCAGTTTGAACTGATTTAACGTTCACAGGTGTGCAAAGTTTTAAAACGCCAGTTGTGCCTACAAAAGAGGGTAGTGGGGAAAACAACTAATAGAACAGGAAAGGGAGCCCTTTCTATCTCCGTGCATGCATGCATCCCTTTGGCTCCCATGCTGTGTGTGCTATACTCTTTTTGCACACTAATGAATATCAGAGTCAGAGCAAGTTATGCTATATATCACTCTACTCCTGTTTTCTAATGAACTTACCCCTAATGGGTAGCTTTCCTAGCTGTTTGTGTCATGACTAAATTTCACCTTGACAATAGATCAAGAATGAGGTTCAGCAGTGTGGCCCACCTACTTTGCAATGCTTCAGCACGACAGCTGCTTTGTGTCCTCAGGGTAGCTTTACTTTGATGCTTTTCACTGCTTAGAAAAATTTGGAGGGAAGATTTTGGTAACCTCCAGCAGGCAGAGTTTTTAAACTTTTCTCAAGGGAAGATGAAGATTCCACAGAATTTTTGAACAAATAGTTTTTTATGAAATAAGTGACACTGTCTTTAGAAATGTTCTTCCCACTAGGTTCCAGAGGAAAGTAGCATTTGCCACACTAGATCTTACTGGTCACTGTTGTAGCCTGATGCTCTTGGCACCTCAGGCTTCACTGTGGAAAACTCTGGAAGGCTTCTGACAAAATGTCTAGTCTGACCATTGCAGACATAGCTCTAGTTGTTAAGGGATGTGTTTTCATGCCTCAGAAGTGCACAATAAGAGGACTACATTCTTTGATCTTATGGGCTCTCTGATGCCAAAAATGCTAGAGCGAAGTTCTTCTAAACTTGGCTGGCTTTCTGGTTGCTCAAAATATACTGCAGGAGTTGCCGTAACATGGGATTGAAATGACTGGTTTGCTGAATTGGCTGGACAAACTATGGGGGGAAGAAAAACAATAGAGTGAGTTCATCATGGTGTACATGTGCCTGACCCAAGGTCATGGGCCAGTGTGGTTGCATCATTTGCTCATTCAGTAGCCATGCTGCTATTGAAAAGATCTGTGTCTGGTTCCTGAGAGTCTGATCTTTTGGTGACACTTTCTGCATGATCTGCTTCAGCAGTGTCTCGTGTCTGCAACCTTTGCATCTATTCAGGCAAAGTTTTTCTGTTTGTCCATTTTTAAATCAGCCTCATGTCTCCCCTTTTCCTAGTCTTGTTGGAGGGGGCAGCACAATCATTCTCATTGACTGCTCTGTCTCTTTTGGCAGACTTGGGGACCAGTTCTACAAAGAAGCAATTGAACATTGTCGCAGCTACAACTCTCGGCTGTGTGCCGAGCGAAGTGTCCGTCTTCCCTTCCTGGATTCACAGACTGGGGTAGCTCAGAACAACTGCTACATCTGGATGGAGAAGAGGCACAGGGGACCAGGTTGGTAGCGTTGTGTCTGTGTATGCGTGCGCATGTATCGAGGGCTGGCCGCTGAGCCCTCATGGGGTTTAATTAATAGGAGCAAAAATCTGCTACAGGCCACACAGAAGAGAAGCTGCCTAAACCTCTGTGCCTGCAGGGGATTTCCTTTAGTAACTGCAGAAAGCTCATGCTAATTATTCTCTCTCTACCTGTAGAAGTGTGTGACATGGTAGTTTCTAAGGCCTCATCAATGTAGGTCTTTTAATGGTATCGATCCCAGTTTGTAGCAGAAGACACAATGCTCTGCTCTAAGTAGGACTGGAATTATCTTCAAGGTGGAGGTGGAAGTTTCTCAGATGAATGCTGAAAATAAGGAACTGCATTGGGAGGGATATAAAACCGAGGTAAAATATAGAAGAGTCCAGTTAATGGAATGTGCGTTGTTCCAACGGTTAGAAATACACATATATATATACACATATAAGTCCTGATTCTGTTTTGGACTTGGATATCAGTTTTGGAGCTGCAGTTCCCTTGGGTGCAGAAAGAAGTTCGTGTATTTCCTTAAGGAGCTTTGGCTAATGCCTGTTCTAAAGCTCAGTGAAGCTCAAGGGAAAAGAGCACTGGTTTTTTTTGTGGACTTTGGTCAGTCTTTCCTTTGTTAGAGTAAATCCATCTGAAATCCTTGTTTGAGAGGCAAAGGACAGTCACCAGCTCAAAACCTGGAGATGTTACTCTGACAGAAGTCCTTCTAAACCACAGGGGAATTTGGCTAGGGTATGTCTCAGTATCTGAGCAACAATATGCTCAAGGAACAGATTTTTTGACAGCACCAAACTGGGTTACTACTTTTTTTTTTTTTTCTTTAATAAAGACCAGAGAATCCAGGCAGGAAGGGGGCTAGGGTACATGGTCACTGGAAGCATGACATGTACATGTGCATAAATAGCTGCCAGTTCCTGTAAACCATACTGAACTCCCCCTCCTCTCCTCAAATTCTAGATCTGAAATTATGGGAAGGTGCAGCCTGCTCTAGTCTCTTCCACTGGCCTGTTTACAGGAGATGAAGTGCAAGGAATGCACGGGATGTTTCCCCCACTCTCCTGTAGCTAAGAAAGCAATTGCTGCTTCTGAAGAGTGCTTAGCTGAGCCTTAGCTGAAACTTCCCTTCTCCCTTTCCTACGATATACTGAGGGAAGGATCCTTGCGTTCCTCGTATGCCTAAAATATCCAAAGTAGATTTATTGTTATCTTGCACTACTATCAGAAAACTCTTTCTATAGTAAAATGAAGAAGACACAGGTGTTTTACAGCATTAAAAATACCCTAAGAATATTTCAGCTACCAAAACTGCTGGGGTAATCTGGGACCACTGAATGTGGTTTACAAGCTGGGAGTTGTCTGACCTTCTGGACTCACCCTTCTTTTGTGGGGCTGCTTCATAACCATAGTTGAGTTTTTGCTTCAGCTGAAAATTCCCCATTCCTAAGAGATTATGCTTTGGCAAAAGTAGCTTTTTTTTTTTTTTTTTTGACTAATCCATTTACCCAAAGAATTTCTGTTCTTGTAGCATCTTGTTATGAGTAAGGTGCTGCTAGTTTTATTCTTCTGAACACAGTCAGGAGGTATATATAAAAACAGGTATACATCTGCTACATTCACAAGTAATGTTTTGTCAACAGCAACTTCTACAAAGATAGTTAGAAAGTCTTGTGTGTGTCTCATTGGTGTCTGTGCACTTGCAGAAGAAACCATTATAAAAGTGTTACAGCATCACACCAGGAACCAAGAAGTCTTAATGCTTTGCCTATCTCAGACACAAGCTCTGTGGACTACCTTGAGCAAATTCACTCTGCAAGTCTTTCTTTCCTCACTTCTGATAGTGAACTGTTTGGCAGCTTGCCCTACAAAAAAGGACCAGTGACATTTCTCCTCCAGGTCTGCAGTGGAGACTGATGGTGGAACATTCTTCACAGAGAGTATCAAGTGAAAGAAGCCTCCTGTGTCTGGATTGGCCACCGAACCTGATGCTTTTGTTATTTTGAATTAGAATAATCAGTGTGAAATGAAGCAGCCCTCCTTCCCCATATTTGCTTTCCTCTTTCTTGATTTTTATTAGCCCATTTAGTGCTCTCTTGAGTATTTTTACATAATCTATTTCTTGTAATACTATGGTGAGTCAAAGCATCCCTCTACAGTTTTAGCATGCCTGTTTTTTGGCTCTGCCAGCCATCCTGGTATCTGTCCTGTGTGCTGTGCTTACTACCATTTACTACCCCTAACCTGAAAAACTGTATAAAGACAAATGGCAAAGCTCCAGGTTCTCTTTTCACTTATACAGGCTTGAAAAACAGAGGAGAGTCAGGACCTCAGCATATTAACCTGGATTCTTGCTGTCCTCTTTGTTAAAGGAGTTAGAAAACTGCATCTCATGATAAACAGTTCAGGGTTAATTTCAAACAATATCACACATAACTCCCTCCTTTTCCCCTCCTCCCCTGGCCTTTCACACGAACTTTGAGTTATGACTCTCCTACACTAATAAGATAAACAACATAACTCATTGCAGGTTCTGCTATTTCCTCTATAAGCAAATGGTTGGAACCTTCTCTGGTTGCCCTATAAGGTACCAGAGGGAGAGACAACCCACTGAGGACTAAAGACAGTAAGACCTGTATATGCATTATTTCCATATCCACTGTAAGATTGACTGTGAAGAGGCTAGATTCAAAGTATTCAGGACTGACCCTTTCCTTGTTGCCTCTCCTTTGTGTAAGATCTACACTTTATGTGAGGCAGCACAGTGACAGAGGGGGAACAGGGTAGAGAAGTAAAGGTAGCATTGATGGGTTTGGATCAAGGTAAGGTCTGGTACCTGTATTAAGTTAATTGGATGGCAGTGTATTAATGAACAGGGGTATTGTGAGTAGGAACAGAGAGCTTACCTCAAGGGATGCAGAGGTGGCTGTTGGACCATCCATCTCTTATTGATCTACCTGCCACCTGGAGGTCCTCTAGGAAAGAGGCTTTCTGACCTCTCTCCTTTCAAGGATACCTGCTTTATTTCTAGTTGGACTTTCAGCATGTGCAGTTGGCTTTCAGTGTCCTGGCTCAATCCAGAACTGCTCTTTCACATAAGAGTGCTCAACAGTTGAACCTACATTAACAGATACTCCCCCAAAACTTCAGTACATCTTTGCTCCTTTCTGTCTGGGACACAAGCTGTAGTGCTTATTTCTTTCAAATGACTCCTCTGTGGCAACTCGTGCAATGGAGGGCGGATTCTCTGTCCTATTGCTTTGGTCTAACAACCACCATTTCAATGTTGTGTGCAAGTTCTTAAACAGGATCTGCTATGAAAGGGTGAAGCTTCTTGCCTCCACCTCTTTAATTACTCAATCAGAGCCAGGCACAATCCACCTCATCATTAAGGCAATTGTTTGCAGTGGTTAATGTTTGCAAAGTGTTATGAAGAGGAGTGTCCAAACACTATAGAAGTGCTAGTTATTCACATTTTTATTCCCACCAGTCCTAAGCAACCTGTTCTGAAATGTGTCCTTGGAGTAGGCATAATGCCTAGCTTGCTGAGCATTGGTGAAAGAAAGGCATGAAAAGCCCAAGTCCAGTAGCACTCTGTGCCCTGAAACAGCCAGGATCTCTGCAAATACTCCATCACTTGGCCACAACCAGGAATTATGCTGTAGATGCTATGTTTATGCACCAAGGCCTTGGAAGTTGGTGGAAAGTGCTGGGGTCTGAACTGGCATTCCCAACAGCTGAAATATTTAAAACCAGGAGCTTAGGTTTCACTTGCAGAATTTGATTAGCACGTTCCCTTGAGGTGAATTATTTTATTTTGTCTTCCTCCCCACCCCCAAGTAACAGGATATTGGTTGTTTTCAATATTCTTATTTGGCTTGGTGAGTCATTTTTGTTCCCAAGATGATATACTCTCCTGGCTGCTTCAGAAGGGATGAGAGAACTCTTGGGCCATCCTAATGCCCTTGAGCTGTTCTGCTTTACTGGCATCCCCTAGATGCTGTCCGGCTGTTCATTGGTACATTTTCACATATGGTAACATCACTCCTGTCCTCTCTCTTATGTGGTCTTATTTGTTTTATGAGGACAATGAGTCTGGAATTGCAGTCACACTGTAGCCCCTTCAGGACAATGACAGGACAGAGGAGCCAAAGCAGAACTGGTAGACAGAAAGAGCAAGGGAAGCAGAGCAAAGAATTTAATTCTTATAACATTTCTGTGTCTTTCTGGGCATTTCTGTATGTTGTGAGTATCTGGGGCAGTTGAGGATACTTTGGAGCACTTGTCAGTGTGCTTCTGTGCCCCTAGTAGTGATGCATTCATGAAGCCCTGCTGTGTTCTGAATACAAAAGAGCAAAGTATAGCTCAAACATTGGCTAAAGGGTAGCTGTCAGGAGAGCCAGGGCAGCTCAGAGGCCAGCAATGCCAAATGTGATTTAAGGGAGCATGCAACAATGTAAACATTGCTGCTGTATCTCCTCGCTCAATCAGGATATTGGCATGAGGAGCTAATAGTCAGGATGAAGAATTGGTATTCAAACAAATATCCAGAATTTAAGCAAAAATACAGACTCCATATAGTCAGACCTCTTGGATCTTGTTTTGCTCCCATTTGGAAGACACAAATTTCCTGAGTTGCTCTGTACATCAGGGTCTCAAGATTTGCATGTCAGAACTTCATCTTTTCTCTCCCAAGGGGCCTTCTCTGCCCGTGGAGGAGGCATCGCCCTTGTGACCCAAGAGAGTCTGAAATTCTATTTACCCTGAAGAAATGACAAATTATTTATGTGCAGCTTTGGTTTCAGTGAGCTGAGTGAAGTGTCTAAGTGAAACTTAGATTCTCTGTAGGCCTGATCCCAAGAGGTGCTGAGGAGCCTCAGGAGCACTGGATGCCTTGAGTGTGTAGTTCTGCCTCATGATTTGCAGGATTGAACCCTCCAACAAGGAGATGCTGGAAGGGCAAGAACAAAGATGCTAGAGACAGTGCTTGTGGTTTAAAAACTGAAATGTGATTAATTTTTTGCCTTTAATCTTCAGGCCTGGCCCCAGGTCAGCTGTACACATACCCAGCACGTTGCTGGCGCAAAAAGAGGCGTTTGCATCCCCCTGAGGATTCAAGGCTGAAGCTGCTGGAAATTAAACCTGGTAAGTATTTGTTTGCCTTTCTCTCCTGCACTGCAGAGCAGCTGGCATACATGCAAACCTGGCATTTAGACCTTGGACTTTATCTTTGCCCCTCTCCAACCATTTCTCCTTGCATCTGTTGTATCTTACTTGATTTGCTGTCACAATAACAACCAAACCCTCTGCATGCAACTCATCCCTTACAGAAATGTGCACAGCTTGTATTGAATGCAATGGGAGCTGAATTTACCTTCTGTAGGGGTGAATCCTGGCTTCTATTAGCAATTCATAAGGATGTAAAGGATCAATGTATTACTAATTATTTCCTCTGCACATTATTAATACAAAGTCTCACTCTGGCATCTGCCGCCTAATCTTCGTGAAAAAGACCACTGTGTGTGTGTAAGAGTACATTGATAAGATTTTTCTTAATGGGGCGGGGGATAAGGGATGTGGCCAGATTATAAACAGCAAATAATAGAAATTAGTGAACGTATGCCACATTTGTGTATTTGTGTAGGTCTGTATGTGTACCTTTGTCCATTATTCTTTCATTCTTCTTGTCCTTGGTATTCTTCTCCCACAATTAAACTATGGGAAGTGATGAGTCTGGATGCTGAATGATTGACTGTAAAGCAGATGTTGAGAAGCTACAGCTGTGTCAGGTAGAGCATAGTGTTGTGCATTCTTCCCAGCAGTTAGTAATAAAGGCTTGCTGTCTCTGGGGTCAGCCATTATGAGAAAGAGGGAACACATGTACTCACAGCTGTATGTGGTTTTTAAGAGGTGACACACTGCCAGTATAAAAAGTACAGGAGAAAACCCCCAAATGTATATTAAGAATATTAAAAAAACCTGTTTGACAAAAGAAGGTGCCTGGGAACTGAGCTATGCTCAGCAATACTGATGACTTTGCTTCTACACAGTAGTTGGTGAAGGGACAGGAAGGGGCAGCAGAGACAAATTCTAAATCCATTAAAATCAGAGACAAAATTCCTGTTGATTCTGGTAGAAACAGTTTTTGAAGACTCCCTACCTTCAATATAAGAGACATCAGTGGACAGCTGGACAAGTGGAAGAAATCCCCATAACCACTCAGCTGGGGTTCAAACCAAGGGCAAAATCTCGGTCAGCAAATAGAACTAGACCTCACAGCAGAGCTGCTTGGAAAGAACTGATGAAATCAGTCATGTACATTGATGAAAATGAGACTGGACTCTAGGAAAAGGATGATGTTGGCTCATAGAAGTGCCTACCTCAGACTTTGTGATGATGCCAGCACTGCTGCACCTTGATAATTTTATAAGGTAAAGCAGTAGGGTAGAGTTTGACTCTTTTTTGTTTGCATTACATTTCTTTGCTGTATTCACTGAATGCCAAATTAGTGCATCCTACATGCCACAGGGCATGAAAGGCAATTACCACAAAGTTATCAGATAAAGAGACCTCAGCATGTCTGTCTCTGTGTTGTTTTCCCTGCTATAAACATCTCCTGCATCTCAGGAGCGCTACTTTTGTTGCTTTGCCCGTGGCAACCAAATAAGGCGAGTTATATTGCTCTGCCATTTAAATCTATTTTCCAACCAATTTCTATCTAGTGAGTAACTTTCCTTATCAGTTACACCACAAAATAATTTCACTCCATCTGTGCATATCCGGAATAGACTCACTAGCCAAAAGTGGGATTTTCCCCTTCTCCGATTTGAAAGTATAAAACTGGTGGAAAACATTTGATCTCCATTTAAGGGTAGCTTTTGAAAATTTGGGAGAAAGATAGTGTAATTTATTTTCAACATGGACAGCTGAAATAATGTACATTTTGGAGGGGAACACTGTGTTAAAACCTAATGCTGAACCTAGGAAGCTACCTAATGTTGACCTCTTTAGTCCTTGGTTAAATATCAGATGACTGTGTGGGGCAAAGATGTGGAAATCTAAGATCCCTTAAAAAGCACAGAGAAGACAACTGTAGGACATGTAAAATACATTTGAAAGAAATCTAATCTAAATGTTGCATAGTTTCACTCCCCTAGGGCTTGGGCATCCTAGTTGTGAGTTAGAGCTGTTCTCAGCAGCTAGAGAGTGCTTGTGCTCATTTAATATGCAAATAGCTGATTTTTATATAGGAGGCTGTGAAATTGTTTATGTATTTTATATATATTTATAATTGTTATATAACATATGCAGGCAGTGCAATTCTACAATGTCAAATTTGGGCTAAACCTTAGTCATATTGTGTGTTACATTTGTTGGCTGTGTAGAAATGCTTCTCTTAAGACAGCTGCTGTAACAAACATTGAAGGGGATCTTAACTCCAAAAGTGGCCAATACAGCAGTCAATGGGGTTGGCAGCAGGGGTGTGAATACTTGCTTGGACTGCATCTGAGCTTTTGGAGTGGCTTATTATAGCAATAAGTTCTGTCCAAAAGTTCAAGACACCTACATAATTCAGGAAATACACAGGATTTTTGTTTTGGTAAGTCATAGCTAGTCATGAGCTGATCAGTAAGTAGAATCAAACTATTGTCTTGGTAGCAGTTTAAGGGTACATTAAATCATTTAGTAATACTATAGCATTTATAGTTATAACCTACTTTTGCAGGTTTAGGTAGTGCATGACAACAGTCAGTGAGTGAGAGTTTCACATTTGGTAATACCAAAACCTAATGAAGAAAATAATTATGCTGCAACATCCTGCTGTTTTTTTGTAAAATGCAAGGTTCACTATAATGTTTTTCCTGGGATCAGTTGATGCCTGCTTCTTAATAGAACATGGTGCTTTTGTTGTCCTTATCTGTTGCTTATATTTGGTTTCAAATGGAAGCGTTTGGTTTTAAGACTAGTTACAGCCAAAGTTGTAAAGATGTGAACACTGGAATAGATGTTGCTGATGCAGCCTTTAGATTTCTATTTTCATCTGCCACTCTACTCAGAGTTACGTGCAAGGATTGCCCTAGTAAAGTGGTTTGATCAAGAGTGTAGCAATGTCCATGTTAGTGCTATTTCTAAGCACCCTCCGTCCCATCCAGTGGCATATGCAACAGATATACGGGAGAAATAAAGTATTGACAAAACTTACTTATGATAATAACTTCAGTGACAATGCAGTTAAAATTACAACCAGATCTTCATGAATTTCACTAAGTATGCCTGACACTTACTTTCACATGGCCTGGTCTTCATCTTTCAGTGTTATATTCATATCCTCAGACCCAAGTATTATGGCTTAAGTGTAGCCACGGGCTCATCATTGTAATGGATAGGAGCTGTTACATGAGCCATTATAGCATACCAGTCAATACTCCTATGAACACTGGTACATATTTGAAACATATTCCAGGTCATGGGCAATATATTGACATGTTGCTAATACTGTGATTCCCTAGGTACAGAGTTCTAAAGTCATTAGGTGTTGATACTCTCATAATATTCATGCAAACAGACTTCTGTTCAACCGAGTATGGGCAAACCTGATTCTCTGCAGAACTGAGCAGTGGTATTTGCACAGCACTTCAGCACAGAGCAGCTGAAGCAGCTCATGCCGTAAGCAGCTCATGCCTCCACATTCACTCAGCTGGCTGTTCCCCTACCCAGTAAAAGAGCGAGAGCAGAGCTGGGCTCCTGTGCGTGGGAAGCCTGTGAGTCTGGGAATGGGGGAGAGACAGGGTTGGGCTGGATAGCCTGTTCTTCCAGCAGAATGGAAGAAGGAGGAGAATTTTTAACTCTACCACCACTGTGAACTGCAGGTACTGCAAAGGTAAGCAGTAGGGTTCTGGCCCTCAGTAATATCTTAGCAGTTGGAAAGAGGAGGGTTAGAGATGGAAGACTGATCTCTGATTAGACCCAAGGCCCCTTGAAATCTTAATTGATCCTTGTCCTATATACTTAGTGGTTTTGTGGTGCTGGGTGGTATTATGATTCTGTGTTGGGTCAGCTATCAAAATTGTGGAAGTGGTATTACCTACAGTAAGCCCTGCTGACAGTCAGGTATTACCCAAGCTTTGCAGCTATGCAGATGAGAATAGATAGGATGAGTATGCCCAAAAACTCTGGTGGAATTTAAATTGGTAGTGTCCTACTTCAGTTTTACAAGGTGGCTAAATATAGGTACGTACATACGTGCACACAGGGCTTTTATTTCACATGCTCTGTGAGTGTAAGGAATATGACTGGAAAGCTCTTGTCTCAGTTTACTGCTGTCCTTTGGTTTTGGGCTGAGAGCCAACAGTGAGGTTTCATAGCGGGCAGCCTTCCCACCCACTTGAAGGGTGTCGAGTAGAGTTTGTGTGTGCTACTGCTGTGCTGAGAATGAGCTGGTGTCCTGCACTAGTGTCTATCTTTTTACTTGTGTCTGGGCAGTCTAGTGGTCAGCTGAGCTACTGAAATGTATTTTATTATTGGCTGTTGAAGGGTAAAAGTAAACAAAAGTATTTTTCATTTGCTATTATGAACCATGGTAGAATTGTTTGAGGCAAGTACTGATAAAAGATTTTTAGATGCAGTTGAACAATGCCTGATCTGTTTTTAATCTGGCATATGGGGTGGACCTAGGTGAGTGTGCTTGTGGATGAATGAACGGAATCCTTACAGATAAGCTATTATCTCTTTAAACCATCTCAATTTACCTTGTAGAGACTGTGACTGATTGTACAAGGTACTCTGTGTCTCCTGGGAACTGAAGAGTGCCCCCAACTCTTGTGAAGGTGCTCAGCACGTCTGTGGAGGTCTGTGCTCTTTAAGATGGGGCACTTCACCCAGAGAAAGTTAAGAGAACATTAAAAAGCAAAGAACAGAATTTGCAGTAGTATCACTTATATGATAGCATCTAGAGACTCAAGCAGCATGTTAGATCATCATCCCAAGGATTGTTGTGAAGTTTTCTTATGCTCTCTGCTATAGTCATATAGCAGATCTTACCATCCAGATATACAAAATATAGTGAAGGAAGTACTTTGATTCCGAAATGGAGAAATGAGCAATAAAGATAATAAACTACTTCTATGACAGTTATACTGGAGGTT